GTGTGCCAGGAGGCTAGCTAATGTTTGTCAAGGCATGCGCTACACAATTCCGCCGGCTTTCTTGCAAACCGTTCGAATGACGAAGCCTAAACGCTTCGGTCTTCGAACAGCCCGATTATTGCCTCTCGCACTGCTACCAGGATAGATCTAAATTATTGATCAAGGACAGACAACGGCTGAGCTACACAGCACGTAGAACCGTCTAAGATGTCCGAGTACTGCGTGTTTTTCACTTTTTTCCATACCACTTTGGTTTTTGGAATGAATGTAATTTCAAAATTAAAAAAAAAATAATAAACTATCAAGCTGGTCTTCTGGGTGGGTGAAATACGCGCAGGCACTTGGACCAACCAGAACTCGACGCGAAATGAATACCCGACGGGGGCAACAGGGCTAATTATGGCTTAATATTAATTATCCAATTAGCACCGGCTACCCCGTCGCGACATCAACTCGCCGAGTCCTACGCGACACAAACAGGCCAGTGTCGCAAACAGCATAAAAAAATACTCATCGCTAAGTTAGATAAGATACAGACTAAATATACCAAGTTTTGGTAGGAATTTTTTTTCTTTCTTTTTCAAAGATATTTTTTCGAAAGGATAATAATGGCTGGTGGGTAATGGACTACTCCTGCGGGCAAGTACTCTCTCTTGGTAGGCAATTAAGGAATAGGGTTATTACGTAATTACGGTTTTACAAATAGATCGTGGTAAAGGTAAGAAAAATACAAGGGGGATACACAAAGAGGTTAGCTACCAGTTTTAAACAACTACTTTATTGGCAATTTTTCTAGGCATCAACCTAAACTAATTTATGTTCTTGTCATATAAGACGTGTAAGTAACGGGGTTCCCTTTCCACATATCATTTCACACACGATCATTTCTTTCTCTCTTCATCTCAATCTCTTTCTCTCTCTCTCTTTCTTTCATTTTTTCTCCCCCATATCTTCATACACCGATTTTTTTTTATTACCACAGTATACGTACATTAGACGCGTCCACGTCCCACGTACGTATAGTCATGTAAATTACGTATGTCAGCGTGTATGATGGTAGATATCGTCGCGTCTCTCTCTATGGCCAATACAATACGTTCGAAAGTTGAATTATCCGAAAAGGACAAAAAATAACAAAAAAAAAATCATTGAATAACGAGAGAGAGACAGAGAAAAAAAGAAATTTTTACCGCGTCACGGTATACCGACCAACAAAACAAAAAAATTGTGGAAATTTTGAAAACAAAATTTTTCATTTTTGAGTACAGTATACCGCGATCCCAAGATACTCGTAGCCATTCGCACGAGAAAGAGTCGCCCTGTTTCTATTCTCTCGGTTCGTGCGAACTTCGAAAAGAAAAAAAAAACAAGGACGAGAAAAAAACGATCCAAGGTGTGACTACAGTGTTAACCAAATAAAAAAAAAGGAGAGGGAACAAAAAGAAAAATGACCAGAAGAAAATCATTGATAAACGAAAAAAAAAAAAAAGAAAAAATGAACAACTAATTAATAGCCCCGCGCAATCAAAGTCTTATAGCCGGTAGAGATACACAACGAACAGACAGGTCTACTGTGGCTGAATGTACTTACGGATTTTTTCTCTCGTACCTCGGATACAGCAGCCACTAGCGGCTGCTGCAGGAAACACGCCACGCCTCAAATATGGACACCGACTTACATTAGCAGCAAAACTACATTACTTTTTTACTTTACTGTACTTTACGTTACGTACTGGGTTCTTGGGAGAATAGGAGAAAAGGTACGTTGGTGTCTAAGTCGTTGGCAATGTGGATCATACGAGTCAAGATTGTCTACCTGGTACTATGTTATCATTACGAGAAATTACGTTGGGTGAGAAACAAAAGACGAAAATGAAAAAAAAAAATTTTCTAATATACAGGCGTGCTTCCTTGCCAGCCGCTAGAAGCTATTACGATCGTGTATCATCCTAAGCGTTGGGCAAGGATATAGCCCCGCCGGCTAAGCCCGGTCGGATTTCTATTTGATAAATTTTTTTCAAATTTTTTTTTATACGAATATACTATATAGATATACGTATACGCATCACAGGAATGCGTATACGTATATCTACGGAGGTACTTGTCTGTGCTTTTTGTTCAATACAAGTGGTCTTGTTCGTGTAACGTGTGCGGGGGGGGGGGGGGGGGGGTTTTTT